AGTTCTGTTTGGGTTGTAGGTGGCTGGGGTCCTGAATGCCTCATACATCTGAGTATCTTTACCTTTTGCTAAATTAGGGAAATTCTCTTGGATTATTTCTGTGAATAGCCTTTGTAGTTCACTTGTTTGTGTTCCTACTTCTTCTTTTACATCCTTAATTGTTAGGTTATAGATCCTCTTATCATCTTCTAACCTTTGTATTATTGCTGTTTGTTTCCTTGTTATTTTAAAGAAGTTTTTCATTTCATGCTCCCACTTTACAAATCTGCCCTCCAGTTCAGATTCTTTCAAGCTGTTATGCCAGCTTTCAATAGAGTTTTTAGTTTCCTGGTAATCTCTTTGAATCTGCTTCAGGTATTCTATGTTTTCTCTATTTTCTCCATCAAACAATTTTTCCCTTTTTTTCTGTTCTTCCATTCCACCATCTTTTTTCTTGGGCAGTGCTTAGCATTTCTCTATTCTATTTGTATCTTGCTTTACTTCATTAAATACTTCACTTTTAAACTCATCTATGAGGCTCTCGAGATACTGCTTTATGTCTATTGGTGCCGTGTCTGATATTGCATGTTTTCTTTCCTCATTCTCCTTTGCATTTACTTTTCCTGGATCAGTGTTCTCAGGATTGGGGACTGAGGATGCTTTCTTGTTGCTCCCTCTTCCCATACTTTTTGTTCTTTCCATACAAGTGTATATAGGAGGCCAGTTTCTTTCTTTGTTGGTTACAGTTTGTTTGATTGCACCGGCTAGGTGTTCCCACCCAATGCAGTGTACTAGGGAGACACAGACCTGGGCAGCCTCTGCTGGGCCCACCCCTCCAGGTCAACCTAGTGAAGGCTTCACTGCTAGGGTACATCACCAGGTGCTGGGACCTGGTTTTGGCTAGCTTACTGGGTCTTAGTCTGTGGTGTCACCCAGGCCAAGTGCTCCCCACCAATCCCGCTTGAGAGGGGAATATGTGACTAAAGTCACTGCAGCGTGCGGTTCAGCTCATCTGCTTCGTCTCAGAATGTCTTCTGTTCGAGCCTCCTCCTCTATGGAAAGGTCCCCATTCTTCTCACTCGCTGCAGGTCGATGCAGGGCTCACCACCAGTCCTGCTCTCAACTCCATTCACCAATTCCTGCTCTCAGAGCTTTCGCATTGTCCCTGCCATGCCAATTCAGATGCAGCAGTGGTGGCAGGAAATTCAAATCACGGCTTCCAGAGGCATGAGTTCCAGCTTCCGTGCTGAGATTTCATCTGTTCTGGTTATAGCACCGGTATTGCATTTCCAGTTGGTTTCTCTCAGCTTAATTCATTCCTAGGTCGGCAGGGTATATCTCCCCTTGCTTAGGACTCCTCACACTGCACTATTCCTGGATTCTAAGCTGGCTTTCTCAGAGAGCCTCCATAGCTGCTGTTCTCTGGGATCTTGATTATTATATGCCTGGGTGTAGCTCTGTTTCGGTTGTAGGTGGCTGGAGTTCTGTATGCCTCATTAATCAGAATATCATTTTCTTTTCCTATGTTTGGGAAGTTTTCCTTAATTATTTCTGTGAATAGCCTTTGTAGTTCCTTTGTTTGTACCCCAGCTTCTTCATTCACATTTTTTATTCTCAAGTTATAGATCCTCTTTTCGTCTTCTAGCCTTTGTATTGTTACTGCTTGTGTCCTTGCTATTTTAAAAAAGTTTTTCCTTTCATACTCTCACATTGTAAAACTATCCTCCAGTTTGGATAATCTATCCTTAGTTTCTTTCAAGCAGATTTGCCATCTTTCCATAGAGCTTTTAATTTCCTGGTAATCTCTTTGAATCTGCTTCATGTATTCTATATTTTGTTTATATTCTTCATTAAGGTGGGTTGTTCTCTCCTTTATTTGAGTTCCTCCCTTCTTGCATCTATGTCTGCTTGATGGATGCTTAGCATCTCTTTTATTAATCTTCTTATATCTTGCTTTTCTTGGCCAAATATTTCACTTTTGAACTCATCTATGAGGTCCCAAATATATCTCTTTATGTCCACTTGCACTGTGTCTGAGATTGCATGTTTGCTGTTCTCATTCTCCTTTGTATTTACTGTCCTGGGTCAATGTTCTCAGGGTTGGGACCTGGGGACTTTTTGTTGTTGCTTCCTCTTCCCATCTTGTTTTGCTTCTTCCAGGAGGCCACAGTTTCTTTCTTTGTTGGTTACAATTCTTCTGAAGCATGCTAGCTAGATGACCCTTCACACTGCAGTGTGTGAGTTGCAGACAGGGACTGGGTATGCTGGCCCCTTCCCTCCAGATTAGCCAAGCTGCTGTGGCCTGCACTACTGTATTACTTTGTGCTGCCTCCCTCTGGACCAGCCACTGGGCCAGTGTGGTTAGTGTGCACGCTGCTTCAAGGACTTGACCTCAGATAACCTACTGGGTCTCAGCCAGATCATGTAACCCAGGTCTAGCTCAGTCCACCAATCCCATTTGGGAAGAGGTCTCTGAGGAGCTAGTGTCTCCATGCTCACTGACCAGGGATCACTCAGGAGTGTGGATCTCCATGCTGACCAGGGGTCTCTGAGGAGTGGGGGTCTCTGTGCTGATTTAATGGGGGTCTCTGGGGAGCAGGGGTCTCTGTGCTGACTCAATGAGGGTCTCTGGGGAGTGGAGATCTCTGTGCTGACTGACCAAGGGTGTCTGGGGATCAGAGGGCTCTGTGCTGACTGGAGGTCTCTGAGAAACAAGGCTCTCTCTGAAGACTGATTGGGTTCTCTGAGGAGTGGGGTCTCCATACTGACTGACTGGGGGTCTCTGGGGCATGGGGGCTCTCTCTGCTGACTGGGTCTCTGGGGATCAGGGGGCTCCATGCTGACTGAATGGGAGGTCTCTGGGGAGCAGGGTCCCCATGCTGACCAAGAGCTCTCTCCCTGGCGAGTCTCTGGGTGTCCCTGTCACTGATCAGGTGCAGCCTCCATGTGAGGTCTCTGGTTTGCATGAGATCTCTGAGAGGTCTCTGCGTGAGGACGCTGGGTCATTTGTGAAATCCAAGGTCGTCTCAGGAAACAGTTCTGTGTACAACCCAGAGGTCTCTGGGGGTCTCCGCTGGGGTGACACAGGACTGAGAGCTTTGTTATGGTCCTGTGGGAAGCAGGAAGATCCCAGTGTACCACTCACACCTGAGGTAGTCTCTGGGTGCTGTCTCCAGGGGACATCTGAGAGGTCTTCTGGATGTCTTTCCCTAGCCTCGTGGTCCCATATGGATACTGAGTATCAGGACAGAGGAGCATGCTGCTTCTGGGTTCTGCCTGGCCCATCAGCCCAGCTGGCTTAGAGTATTTATGCTGGCAGGAACCCTGTGTCAATGTCCAGCTTCTCTATGTTCCAGAACATTCCTTAGTGTCCTGAGAGGACACAGCAGCACTGGGCACAGCCCCTGCTGAGGTTGGGGTCCCAGCTGTGTGCCACCTTCTCTTGAGCTCCTGAAGGACCAGGGCTACTATGTGCCCCAGGGTCCAGCCCCTCCTGCCAGTCCCAGCTCTTCCATCATGGATGGGTCCACTGTGGGGACCAACACAGGCATCCAGGTCTCTGAGACAGGATGAGGCTGCAGGGCAGCCTGCAGCACCAGCAGGCAGGACCAAGGAACATTGCCTCCTCTCCCCTCCACCAACAGTATAGTTCTTCCCCACAGGGGGAAAGCCAACAGGAAGGGAATCCTATGTTAGAAACAAAGTAACAACATAGCAGGCTGCCCATTTGGACTAGTGCTGCCTCAGGACACTTAGACAAACACTTTCAGATTCCTTGCGGTGCAAACCTGTGTGACCACCCCTTCCCTGTGTGCCTGTGGCTAAGCAGGGCTGGACGCCAGGCAGGACTTGCTGTGTGACACCAGCACAGCCCCTTGACCTTCCTTGCACCCCCTCTCTAGCAGCAGTCCTGGACTACACACATATAAAGGTCAAGGGATTTTGAATCACATCTCAGGGACCCTTGTCCTGTGCTCTCCACCCACTGTCAGTTCATCCTCTCTGCAGGAGGTGAACATAGGCAACTGGACCAGATGTACTAATGAGAAATCAATTAATGATATTCACTGGCACACTTTGCTCCTTCTCAAACCTGGCTCCGTGTGGGACCTAAAGGTTCTGTCTCTGAGTCAGGATCCGGAGCAGGCAGGGCCCTGGGGTGGGGCCAGAAAGAGCCACATGGCCCCTGATGGCCCCTCCTGTCTGCTGCTGGATGGCAGCTGAGCCTTGGGAGCGCCCCATCCCCCCACCAGTCACACTGGCCTCAGGCCACTCTGCTCCCACCTCAGCTCCAGCCTTTTCCATTTCCTCCCACAGCCCACACTGTGCCCAGCGCCTGAGCATCAGTTACTGAGCCTCACATCCACAGCCCAGAACCACTGACTGGAGTTGGGCCATGTGAGATGGACCAGAACAAGTGACCAGGAGCAGGGCCTCCTGACACACAGCTGGATTTTCCCTCCTCACTGCTGCTCTAGAATGAGGGAGCCCGGATCCTGGGACAGGGACTCTGAACTTTCCATCAAAGCTGAGCCCAGAAAGCCCCTCTCCATCCTGGCCTTTGCCACGGAGAGGCAGGGCTCCCCAAGGGTACCATCCTCTGATTGCCACCATCTGATCCTTGATGGAGGGCAAGATCTCTCCTGCTCCTGATCTCAGGGCCCACCATCCTCTGTGCCAACTGCCACCCATTCTGGGACCCTCCGCAGCTACCTGGCTCAATCCTTGCTCAAGTGTGTGGGAATTTTCAGCCTAAGAGGTCTCTGTGTCCCTGGATCCTGCACTGACGTAAGGTAGAGGGAGAAGTGGCAAGGTGAGGTGAACCAGATGCCAGGGTGGGCTCTTCACTGCTTTTCCTCTGCTTGTCTTTAGAATTTTTGTTCCCCTAATGATGGAAAAGGGGATCACTGAAGGAACTCAGGTGGACCTGGGCTTGTACCCCAGTTACCCTCTACCACACTCCACCCCTCCAGACACCAGAGCCCACCCCAAGCACAGAGAAGACACAAACCACTTCCCCCTTAGGAGGAAAAATAGGTATATTGGGCTACAGTAAGTCTCAGGGATGGAGAGTATGAGAAAATCATTTTCTGCTACATAGCACATTGTGTTCCTGGAGGTGCGTTTCCCTAGTCAGAAAGAGCGGAGAGAAATCTCTCGGTTGCTCAGTTAAGACCCCTCTCCAAAGAGAATGCCTGGGGCAGTGATGTTGGCCTGGTGCCCTCGGGACTGAGGGGCCACGCTGGGCAGGGCTGACAGGGCACACAGGCTTGATGGGCACTGAGGAGTGGGGAAGCCTCTGGCCCTGCTGCTCCCAACCTTGCTGTCCAGTTTTCAAGGACTCCTGGGGGGGCCTCTCCCTGAGACCATGGCTGCGGTACTCGGGGGCCACCACATATCCTGCTGCTCCCCTGTGCTCTAAGGAGCAGGGAGCCTGGGAGACCCAGTCTTGACCTCCTTCCTGTCTGTGCTGATCCAACTTCAGGTCACGAACTTCACGCTGAAAACATATTTTAGTTTCTAGCATCTGCCCAACTGGGGTCATGAGCATCTGAGCCTCATCAGCACCACGGTCCACACACAGTCTGCCTGGGGCCGGTCTCCAGCTCCGGTAAGTGGCCCCTGCAGGCTTGCCTTTTTTGGGGGCATCTTCCTGCCCTTTCATTTTTTTTGTGGGTAAAAACCACTGCAGAAATTTCTTCAGGGCTCTTTTGAAGCGGCCTTATGAAGGCACTGGCTGCTTCTGTGGGAGATGCCGAGGGTGCTCCCTCTCCAGGGGGCCTTGCTTTCCCCAACCCTGGGAGGCCAAGCCTCCCATCCTGTCTTCTTGTTTCCCTGGGGCAGTCCCCCTGCTGACCTCCTGCTTGTAAGTGGGGGCAAACATCCTGCTGTGGCTCCTCTGAGAGTGCTGGTGCATCAGGACCCTGGGCTTCTGCTGGCCCAGGCTGCACTCTCTCTGTGCCATTAGGTCACCTAACCTCTGAGAAGCAAGTACCTGGCCTAGGGGCCTGAGGTGGTGATGGCACTGGGGTGGAACATATACCAAATTGTCTGGAAGCTGGGACCCCGAGCCACTCTCTTGAGAACTGTTTGCTGACTTCATCTCTTCATGCTGAAATGTCCTCATGGTGTCTGCCCAATGGCCTGGCTCTGCTGCATCTTGGGCAACATATGTTCCAGGATGCAAGGGGACTGTTGGGTCAGCCCTGCTGACCATTTGAACAATCCTGCTGTCACGGATTGTGTCACCACTGCTGTATGAGAGTTGCTCTGAAGGGCCCTTGATATCCTGTCCCGACAGGGGGCCCTCTGATAAAGGCTGACCGTCAACCAGTGGGACACCTGTGGGTTCTGACTTGGTTTCTTCTAGCACAAGAGGGAAGACCAGGGGACTGCCCAGTGGAGAGACAGACTCCTTGACCCTGGCCTCATCCTCAGGAAATGCCTCAGGTGGTTCCCCCAAGAACTCCGCATCCTCAAGGATCAAGTCTACCCAAGAATCCCCAGAAGATGAGGAGGGCGGGGAAAACTGTGGCAAGGATAAGAGCTGCGCCTTTGTGGGCCTGAAGAGGTTTGCAGCCTTGAGGAGCTTGAGGAGGAGACCCCACTTGCGCTTCACCCTAAACCTGGTGAGGTGCGTCTCCAGGTCCTGTAGACAGCTTGGGTAGCAGACGGAAAACTTCTCGGTGGGGTTCATAGAGATTTCCTGAGCCCTGGAGGATGCTGGCTTTCTGGTCCCCATGTGGGTGTCAGAGGTGGAAAAGGCACCGTGGACACTGAGCCAGGACAGGCGCACTCTCAGCGGGATCAGCCCCTGGTGGATCTGCCCCGTCTTTGTGCCCAAGTGCACTTTCAGCACATCCTCTATGTGCCCCCTGTCAGCACTTCCTGGGGAGTCATTACCAGTGTCTCTCCCCCTGGTAACAATCAGGGTTCTCTCTGACTCCTCAGAGGGTACCCCCTGATCCTTGTCGGGGTAGCTTCGTGAGGCCCTGGACAGATCTTTTGGGACATTGCCTAGAATATGCCCCAGATTCCTGACCGGGTTCGTGCTTGGCTGGAACCTCATCTGCTCATCCTGGCTGCTTTCAGCTGTAGACAGGAGCAGATGGGAAGGCCCAGCCTTGTCCTTTGCCTCCCAGGAAAGAGTCAAGTCACTTGGAGGCTGGGTGAGTCCTGTAGACCCCTGGGTCTTGCTGGTTAGGTCTCCACAGTGTTGAGTGATCCACCTTTGAATGTGCTGCTCCAGCTGTGCTCGGACCTCAGGGTTGAGCGGAAAAGTCCCAGGAAGGGTGGCAGCAGCATACTTGCCTTGGTGAAGGCTGGAAGTGGGGTGGCTATCGCTCCCCTGAGAACTTTGGGCTGCTGAGGGCGCAGCACCCCCACGCTCCAGTTGTTTTGTGGACAAGGGCCATCCTGGGTGTTGAATTTCAGTTGGAACCTGAGACTGTGGGGTGCTATGGGGTGCAGAGCAGGCTGCTCCACAGTCCCTGCTGTGGGACGCAGGAGGTGATAACAGGACTGGGGGAGAGGACCGTGGGTGGGTCTGAGTCAGGGCATAACCCAGAAGTGGGGGCTGGAATTGGGGTGGGGATTGGGGCTCCAGATAGGAGGGGGCCTGGGCCTGAGGAAGCACCAGTGACATTTTCTCCTGCCGGTGAGTTGGGTGAAAATGTGAGGTTTTGTTAAATGAGGAGGATTGAAAGTGGGGAACAGCAGTGTTCGGGGAAATCCAGGCGGCAGCCACTAAGGATTCGCTGTGCAGAGAGGGCAGACCCCAGAACAGCTGGTTCCATTTCTGCTCAAAGTGGAGCCCTGGGATCTTGGGATGTGAGAGTTGATGAGGACCGAGCTGCTGATTTGGCTTCTCTGTAGTGTCCCACCAGGGTTGGGGGGTTGTGGTAGATTTGAGGGGACATGGTGGGGGGAGGGAGTGTGGAAGTGGCTGAGGTGAAATTCTGTCCAGCAGAAGCAAGGGCTCTGGGGGCTGGGAGGAAGTAAGGGCTGTGGGTGAACATTCAAGATCCGAGGAGGTTGTGGACCAGCCTGACGATGGAGAGGAGGCCAGAGGCAGAAGGTGCCGAGTGAGAGGGGAGGGGGAAGCCTCTACTGAGGACAGAGTGGCGGTGTGCACGTCCTTCCCATGTGGCTGCGGGGCTGTGGCAGGTGGACTTGTGCACACAGCAGCAGGATGGTCTTCATCAGGGAGCATCCTCAGGAGGCTGTAAGAAATAGGAGGCGCAGCTGCAGTCAGAAGAGGGTCTGAGGCAGGGCAGGCAGGTGAGGGCCATGGCCCTCCACTGCCTGCCATGAGGACCTCAAAGTTCTCTTCTGCCCTTTGTCCGAGGGCTCTCACATCCCCTTGTCCCAGGATCTCCCCCTCCCAGGTCAGATGGAAGTTGCTTGGTGACCCTGGGGTCTCCACAGGAAGGAGACTGGAGAGAAGGGGGAATTCTTTACCTTTCTGGAACAGAAATGTGGTTCCGGGTCTCCTCCAGGAATTCCCGGTGGTCTACAATAGGAATTAGGAGCCTGGGTTACATGGGTTAAGGGCAGAGAAGGGATTGAGGATTTATAGGAGCCTGAAGGGAACATCTCCTTGGAAGAGACCATGTGTCATTAGACTCTGGAGCCCAAGCTTCAGTGTCCAAGGTCCCAGGACCCAGGCTGACACTTGCTGCCTGGTCCCACTACTGCCTGAATTGCCCCAAGTTGGTGACACCTTCCCTTGGCCCAGCACAGTTTGCTCCTGAGCAGGGAGCCTGACAAGCGTCCCCCTGATGACTGCTTTCCCAGGATCCCTCCTTTCAGGGCTCTGTGGCTGACATCCTGGGAATGCCGGCCTTGGTTGCTGGGGACCAGGTCATGTTGGTTCGGGGGCTGCAGGACTGAAAGGCAGAGCCTCACCTCTGAAAGCGCCCGTCCTCTTCCTGGTCCTGCTCTTGCTCTTCCACCTCATCCGCACTGGACGCTGAGAAAGAGGGAAAGTCGTGAGGGGTCCAGGAACGTTCAGCATTCATAAGCTAAATTAAGGCACTATTTTTCCTGTCCTTCTTTGGACACACACAAAGACTTTCTAACACAAGATCCCCATAAGTGGCCTTTGTATATTAAAAACTGGTGGTCAACCTAACACCAGATGAATTGAGTCAGCGTGGTCTGAGAATGGATGGCCCATCTGAGGACTGTTTGCCAGCACAAAAAGGAGACCTGAAGAGGAAGAGCAGCATTGTGGGTTCTCCTAAGTGCTGCTGCTGTTTGGAGCTGTTGGTTGTCCTGGAGGGCAAGTCATGCTGGTTCCCCTACATGAACACAGCTGTTATCATCAGAGGAGTTCAGGACCTTTTTGTGGCTGAGAATGGCTGTGGTTCACTTTGGGGGAGCTCTGGTCCTTATGTTGAGCTTCACCTCCTGGCTCTGGAGGGGAAGATGCATGCTGTTTAATTTCCAGGAGAAGCTTGTCCTGCTGGTCCTGATCTGAGATGGCTGTTCTCATCACTGGAGGAGCTTGGGACCTCATTGGCACTGAGGTACTTTTCAGGGGAGCCCTGGTTCTTATTTTGAGCCTTACTTCTTGGGTCCGGTGTAGAACCCTCAGCCTACTGGCACAGCTCCTTCACCCCACTGTCGTAGAATTTCTAGCTTCCACCACTGACCTTTGGACCTTCACAGTGCAGATCCATAAAACAGACTTGCATAAGTCATGGTTGTGGGCTCTATACTTCCAGTTGCACACATGGGTGGTATTGTCCTTGGCTCTAAGTCTTCAGCTGGACTTATGCAGGACACTGCTGCATCCAGGCCCTCAGCTAGACTTTCTAGGTCTTTAGTGCTGTGGACAGATTTCCTGCATTTTCCTGTATTTAACTTTAGGTGGCCATCATAAAATATATTATAAATTCTGTGTCCTGTATGTAATTGTTGTCCTTGCAACCCTTGACTACAACAGGTATCTTCGATCCTCTGCACAAGAGACAACCTGATCTCACAGAAGCATCAGAGACCATGGTGGCTGCAGCCTGGAATGGGACTGGACTCGCTCAGGCCCTCAGTACAGCCCTCAGATCTACCCTGCACAGAGCAGAGGCTGGGCCTGGAGGCGTCTGCCATAAGACGTGGACGTGTACCAGTGCGAGGGCCTGGTCCCTCCCCTGGGCTCCCTCCTCTCAGAATCCAGTCCTCACCCACCGAGTCCCCATGTTCTGTTTGCTCTGGCACCGCCAGCAAATCACAGAGGTCTGAGAGCAGCGGACAGAGTCCTGGTGGCCATGTCCCCTGCCTGCCCACCTGTCCTCGGGGAAGAATGTTCTGTTCTTTCCAGAGGTCTCCCCTCTCCACAGTCTCTGTCCCCTTGATGTGGGAAAGCAGAAACTGGTAGAAGGAGTCAGAATCGTTCTCTGCTGGGTCTGAGCTGTGGGTTTCTCACCTTTCTGATGGTTCTAGTTCTCCTGGATGGGGGCAAGGATGGTTCACCCGGGAGCCAGGGCAGTAACAGGAGGTACAGCCCCACTCCACACACAATGGCAAGGACCATGTCCATGGCAAAGGTGGTGGAGCTGGGGCTCAGCCACGTGGCGCTAAGGCTTTTCAGAGGAGTGAGAAGATTCTCCATCATCTGAATCGCAGTGCTGCTCTCAGGCAACTGAGCCCTGAGAGTTCTGTCTGGTAGCAGGGAGGGGTCCCAGGTTTGCATCACAAAGCTGTGGCCTCCTCATCACAAAGGGCTCCTGGGCTGGGGGAGGGGTGAGGAGAGGCCCAGCCACAGCTTTCCCCCTCCCCCACTCTCTAGCACAGTGGGTGCTGCACCCTCCTGGGCCTTCTGGACCCCAACTGCCCAGCCTGTCAGAGACAGACCAGAGTCTATTTTGTATTCATCCTCCCTGGAACACGGGTGTTACCTGGCTGTCTAATCCAGTGGAGCTCTGGTTGATGCCAAAACTTTATAGTGATATTTTCATAAGTGTACAGCATTTATATTCTTAACTGCACAAGGTGGTCTTAAGGACTACTGTATGTATACACACACAGACACCCACATCCTTTTACAAACCAATCTAGTATTTTTCACAAAACAGTCCAGTATTTTCAATTCCATTATTTTCTCATTAGTATCAGGAGAAGGCCAATCACATCTACAGTGAGAGATACCATTGTACTCTATTTAAAAGACTATAATAATTATTTCTAATACTAGCAATAAGCTGGGAGTAGTGACACACACCCATAATTCCAGCTCTTGGAAGGCTGAGGGAAGAAGGTCACTGTGAATCCAAGGCCAGCCTGGGCTACATAAGCAAGTTCAAGGCCAGGCCCAACTTGTCTCATAGCGAGACCCTGTCTCAAAACAAAGTAAAATAAAACAAAAATGCTAGCAAGGATGTGGAGAAAGAGGAACTCTCATACAGCATTTGTAGGACTGTGAATCAGCACAGCCACTATGGGGAGCAGTCTAAGGGTTCCCCACAAAACTAAAAGTAGGTCTACCATTTGGTCCAGCATCCCATTTTGGGGAATATATCCAAAGGTGATGCAGGGAGTTCACTATCCACAATAGCTAAAACAGGATGGCCACCTATCAATTGATGAATAGAGAAAGTGACCGATACACGTGCCCTGTTCAGCCAAAAAAAGAACTGGACCCTGTTGTTGGCAGCAAGGATAGAGTGGGGCAGGGGGTCACCTCATTATGTGAAATGAGGCAGATGCCAAAAGACTGGTGCTGATTGTTCTCACTCATGCAGAAGTTTAAGAGACATGGACTTGAATGGAGGAGAGTGTTAGAGGCTAAGAAGGGGGTTGGTCCATGAAGGACAGGGATCAGTGAGTGCTATATCTGTGTACTGAAATGCCACACTGAACCCTGTTAATAGGTACAATTAGTGTTTTTAATAAAAATGGATTTATGTACTGTCTTTATTTGGCTTTCTTGTGGTAATGCTGACCTCATAAAATAAATTAGAGCATATTCCTTCTCCTCTTCAGTGTTTAAAAGAGTGTGTGAAAGTGTTCTTCTCCTCCTCTAAATGTTTGGTAGAATTCCCATCAAACCCTTCTGGTCCTGTGTGGAAGACAACTCCAGTGTCGCCCTTTGAATCCAAAACAATTACTGTGACTTTGAATATTTGGAGACTCATTTCCTTATACTAATATGTAAAAGGGTGGCTAGGGTATTTCCTTCTCTTCAATAAACTCTGAGTTTTGCAAATAAGGCTAGCTGAGGTGCTAATATGCAAAATCTATAGCTAACAGACAGTCCTGTTTCCTCACATGGTGCTCTTCACATACAGGATTGAGCTGGTGAGATGTTAAAACAAACAGCTACAGGAATGTCATCAGGGTAGAGCCTCAAGGTAAAGAGGCTATGACTCCCCGGGGCACAAGAGTTTGCATATCACAAACAGAAGCCATAGCCCCCAAAACAATTCCACTGTTACCTTAATTGGATTATGTAAATTGATCTTCTACATATCTTTATCTCTGCAAGAGATGCCAATCTTGCACCTTGCCAGCCAGCTCAAGTTACTCAGTAATCTCAGACATCCTGACAATCACTCATCCCTGAGTGACACCACCCCACCCCACCCCCACCCCCCACCCCCGCTTTCTTCACAAGATAACAAACGCTGGGAGAGGCCAAGGATCAAGGCCTTTGTCCACATGTCCTCACGGGAAATGGATTTAGGACCCCTTGGCTGTCCTTAACTTGGAATATGTCTTGGTGTCTACTGTCACAGTGGGTTGCATTGGTAATGGTAGATTGGAATTGACTGGCTGGGATTCCAATAGCGTCTCAATGGGATTACAAATATAACTTTTTGGATTGAGAGGAAATCTAAAAAGAGGATTACAATACTTGGATGACTGAACTCGATATTTTGGTTTACAATAGTCCTAGACTACTATGTTAGGAGGTTTATGATTCCTGATTCAGTCTCCTCATTCATGACTGATCTGTCCAGACTTCTTGTTTCTTAAAGTTTTATACATTTCTAAGAATTTCTCCATCACTCAAGGCTATCAATTTGTTAGTGTACAACTGTTCACAGTAGATTCTTAGATCCTTGTATTTCTCTGGCATCAGTTGTTGGCTTCCTGTTTCTTTGCTAATTTTATTGAAATCTTGTTTTTTTCCCTAGTCAGACTAAAAGTTTATGAATTTTTCAACAAGCCAGAAGTTTTGTTGATCCTTTATATTACTTTGTACACTCTGACTCATCTTTCTGTCCTGATATTTGTTGATTAATTTCTTTATTTTGGACCTTTTGCTTTTTGAAGGCATAAGTTCAATTGTTCAGATCCTTGATCTTCATGCAGGCATTTACCTGATGAACATCCCTCTTAGAGACCACCTTTGCTGTATTCTGTAAGTTTTGGTACACTGGTTTCCATCTTTGTTTTTTGTCCCAAGATACTCTATCTCCCTTCTGATTTCTTCTTCGACTTATGAATTGTTCAAGAGTTTGTTTTTTTAAATGTCCAAGTATTTATGAATTTCCCAAATTTTCTCCTACTGACACCTAGTTTTTTACCTCTGTGGAAAGAACAGGTATATGATAATATTTCAGTCTTCAGAAACTTCTTAAGACTTGTTTAGTGGCCTAATATACGTAACTGGTATTAGGTAACATTTTGTGTGTGCTTAAGAATCATTTGAATTTAGCTGCTATTAGATGGAATGGCATATATAAATCTATAGTGTACTTCAAATCTGTTGTTTCATTATTGGTTTTTTGTCTGGATGAATTATCCATTGTTAAAAGTGAGGTAGTGAAGTCTCTTACTATTACTGTGTTGCTGTCTATTTCTCCTTTCTGATCTGATATTTGCTTTTATATCTAAGTGTCTTAATGTTGGATGCATATACATTTGCAATTGCTATTGATTCTTGGTGAGCTCATCCTTGCATCATTATGTAAGACCTTCTTTTTCACTAGTTGCAGTTTTGTACTTAAATTTTGTTCACTGAGTATA